TTAGGGTAGAGCACGGAGTAAAGGATGTACAATCTTCATACAACGTACTTCGGTCTTGTGCTATTCCTGAGTTTTCTCCCTCGAGCTAAACGCTAGTCATTCCGATTGATGGAGACTTTTGCGTATATGATTGAATTTCATGAACTCAAAATTTTGTACGTTTTTCTTCGGTCTCTTCCTCGACTACTCGACTATCTACCCCTTCTCGTGCCTTGTGACCAACACTGCACGGAGTACGGAAAGTACGGAGCATCTGTGTCAGATACAACATGAAGGGACTGGGGGGCGGGTGACATTGATCCCCGAGTTTCGGGGACCATGATGAATCCATGGCGGAAATTTATCCATTGTGTATTTACTCCGTACACACTATTGAATAGCAAATTGGAATTTGATAGAAGAGAAAATGTCTGGTTCCACAGCACGAGGCAGAGGAAAAATCTTCAAACAATCCACCAAGGAGAGAAGAAGCAAAAAAAGGGCACTAGAGTGTGACATGTCCCATCCAGGCTCTGTGCTCTAACGCACTATTGCGGGAGCCGCGCCCGCCAGTCTACCAATCTGTCTAAAGCGGCCCTAATCCCGTTTTCCCACTCATCCCCATGGAAGGTTGCACTGTTCCGCCTCCTCTGACGACGACGTCCAGCTGTCCCAATCCCCTACAGGAGAGGGGGGAAAACATGGCTTGCACCCCGCCCTTATCATCCATCATAAGCTACAATACGAGGTTGTCATGGCTTCCGTTTTCGTTCACCCGAGTGCCTTAAGACGTGGACTTAAGGGTGTTCCTATGTGACACAGCTCGCATGGCCCGGCTAATGGCAGCGTTGGTATCCAAACCTATTCCATCTTCCTGCAGGAGGCTTTTTTTTTTGTGTACCACTGTGCGCGACCTCATTGCATGCTCGTTTGTTTGTGTGCTTGTGTGTGGTTCTGCGACCGAGGGAACAACAAATGGTGTGATGGATAAGAATTTCTGTCTCGAGAGCCGTAAAATATCCATGGAGGACGTCTGCGTCTACTTTGTACGGAGTAGTATACAACATAATTTGTACGGAGTAAAGTGGTTCCCGCTCTCGCTCCAAGGTAGTTTTGTCCCGTGGAGTGTGCTCCATCGGACTGCACTGTACATCCTCCACATGTCCATGGAGCACGACATATTAAGACTGCTCTGTATGTTTAGTCTAATTTCTGAAACAGGAGCCCTTCAATTTTGGATGTCAAACGTCATCACATTTTTTGGTTAATCTCCCTGACCGAATGGAATTAGAATGGAATTACTCCGTAGAATGTAGTCAATAATGTTGGCGGCTAGTGATTCGATGCTCCTCCCTTCTCTGTATGTAAGGTCGGGTTGACGCGCTAAACCCTCTCTGTGCCGTGTCAAAGGCCTCCATAGATTAAGCCATTCCTTTGTCTTTTTTTGGGGGGATTTTTTAATGAATCACAGGAATAATGTTTCCTATGTATGTGCTCTCCAGGGCTATGATCCTGCAGCTTGCCAATAATGAGAGACTCCAGATTGCCATCCCAGTTGTGGGTTTGTCTTTAAGCCATGTCCTTTTCAAAGGGACTAGGAATGTTTTAGCACATTTAGTCTACTATTGGGTAGGACCTACTCGAACTAATGGACCATATGATAATCACGTTGAATGTGCTCCGTACTGGACTCCGTACCCAAGAACTACCACTATAATCAAATTAACCCCCACGGCAACGGGTATACCCTTTTAACACTGGGATCTGCCCCGCTACATTGAAACAGCGGACTCAGGGCGAACCTTGGTGAGTTTATTTCTTGGCAGTCCCTTTTCTTTTTGTTCATCACAAATTAAGAAAATCAGTGTACGAAGTATGTTGTAGTAGATTCATATAAATTCAGAAATTTCCCTTTTGGTTTTCTCTTCCCTCAGACACGGCACGGTTGGACCACTCATCAGCGTTCATGGCTAGTTTCCAACTGAACATTCCCCTAGTCTACACCCCCTTTGATTCTGAGGTCACCGACTGCTTTTTGGGTCTCATGTTTTTTCTCCTTTTTTCGTCCCCATATTAAATTGTAGATGGGAATTTCTTTTGGGAGGGAGGTTATTCTTTCCTTCTGACTACTTTCCACTTTCTATGGCTGATTAGAATTGCCGCTCCGATGACGGAGTCGACCAATTTTGACATTCCCATCTAAAAACTGATTCAGATTCTTTAGATCTTCCATTCCTCAACCTAGTTGATGCTTAAGCAATTAATATATTTTAGACCCTGATTAACAAAGGGTTATACATCTACTAGTATGCTTAGGGTAAACATAAAGAGTAATTTCACATCCGAGGAACTGGTTCCCGTTGAGGATCACTTTTGCCCTAAGCAAAGCCTTGAATTCACCAATCCTAGGAGGGGAAAAGGGAAACATGAATTAAATTTTTTTTTCTAAAATGAGAAAACCCCCAAAAATAAAGAAAAAGTCAAAATTGATAAAATTGATAAAATTTGATTAAATTTTTTTTTAAAATCCCCCAAAATCGAAAGAATATCACAAAAATCAAAAAAGAATCAAAAAGAATCAAATTAAAATCAAATCAAATCAATTAAAAAAACAAATGAAACAAATACCGGTATTATATTTCTCAACGATCTGCAATCCCCGACGGGACGTCGTCAGTGGCACTTTGGTATATGGGCATCATGCCTCACACCTTATATTCCTTCATAAGCTTCGCCGATCCCCTTCCCCAGACTGCTGCTTTTCTCTTTTCTCCCAGTAAATAAAAAATTGTCGATCACTGGCTTTATCTCTTTTTCTCTTTATCTTCCTCCGGATCAACACGGGCGATCACTCTACTCCAAAGGAAAACTCTTTGGTCTCGATCTTCGAACTTTTCTCTCCATACAGTTTCTACACGCGATCGATTCGCGACGCTATTCCCCATGACGATGGTTATGGAAAACCAGAACCGCTCCTACGGTGGCATGAGCTTCGACAATGTCTATCACCACACCCCACCACAATTTACAGACCCGTGGGCAGCGCACACTTCGTCGCACTCGACACCTCCTGTCTACGCAACCTCTATGGGCAATGGCGCCAGCATGGGACTTAGCCAGGTCAAGCAAGAGGAAGTGAACCGCTCCGGGATGTCTATGCCGTACCCCAACATCCCTGTGTCCGCCCCATCAATGGTGGCTGGGAGCACCTACGCGGCCGCCAGCTATGGCCCTGAGGTAATGGGAATGCAACACGAGGTGCCGCGCACTACTTTTGACCAAGCTCCTTCCTACACCACCGCTCCTCCAATGAGCACTTTCGCGCCTTCCAGCTACGCCTACGCCCCCATTCATCCCTCCCCGCAGGACGCCCGTCGGATCTCGCACTCGTAAGTTGGATCCGAGAGTCCGAATTGTTGACATGTGTCGGAACCGCCCAAACTTACACAAAATTCCACAGAGATGCCACTCGCGTTGGCGCTTCAGCCTCGGCCCCCACTTTTGGTGATGCACTCGATGCCAGCCGCGGAATGGTCGCTCTCAGCCAGGACCTGACGCCGCGCAACATCTACGGCCCTCGCGGCACGAGAGGCTCGGCTGATTCCTACGGTTTCCCTACCGCCCAATCCTCCGCCTCATCCATCTCCTCCGGCGGCAATTATCCCTACTACAGCGCCTCGGTCGGCTCGGTCGACTCCTCTGTGACCGACTACAGCTCCACAACTTCCGAGTCATACGAATCGCGTACTCTTCCCCGGCCGACCAGCCTCTTGGCCGGCAGTGCTCCCCCCGGCCCCCAATCAATGATGAGCCAATTCAGCTCCAAGGTGCCCTCCAACACCCAGAAGAAGCACAAGTGCAAGGTCTGCGATAAGCGGTTCACGCGCCCATCTTCGCTGCAGACGCACATGTACAGCCACACCGGTGAAAAGCGTAAGTTTTCTATACTCCAAGGCCACATCGTTCGAAGGTTATATTCTTACAATTTTCCAGCATTCGCGTGTGATGTCGAAGGCTGCGGGCGGCACTTCTCCGTTGTTTCAAACCTGCGTCGACACAAGAAGGTCCACAAGGGCGAGAAGGACGCCGGCTCTGGTGACGATGACGAGTAATCTGCGGACCTTTTTTCATACGACTACACATTCTTCTGCTCGACGCGGAAATCCCGTGAAATGCCCCCCCCCCTCCTCTCTCTCCTCCACCTTCTTCGCGCACAAAGCGCCAGACCTTTCACCCGCCACAACCCCGTTCTCCCTGTGCCTTGAGCCAATCCATGAACCAACTGCGTTGGCATTTTGTGCAAACGGCTCGGGCTTTCTCGTCTCCTTGTACAACAGCATGGATTTCCATATCATCATCTTTTCTATATCAACTTCCGACGAACATTTCCTGATCGGAGAGAGAGACGCTTATACATATCATACTCCTCCCAAACGAGCTGTGATTTACGGGTGCAATGGGTTCTGGTCGAGGGCCGGAGGCGAGAGAGAGCCTTCTCTTTTCTTTTTCTTATTTCCATGTTTTCTTTGTTTCACCCACGTTACGACCATAGAGGTTTCCGGCTGGATGCGTTGTTTTCATTTCGTTTCTCATTCTTTCGCTAGACCTGGGCGTCACCTTCCTGCTTTTTCTCGATACCATTGGGGCTTGTGATGATTCGATGTTTTTTTTATTATTATTTACTCAACAGGCCATACCCTGACTTTTTTTCGCTTCTTAATCTTCCATATCCTGCATTGTGCATGGTTTAAACCCACTACATCTTCCTCTTCCCTAGCTGCCTTTTCCACCAAGTCTGTGTTTCAAGTGCAAGTCTGGATTGGTGTCGGTGATGATACCCATATGAAGAAGCATTGTTCCAATTGTTTTGATACTGGCTGGGTCTGGCCTTGTTCAAGTTTCACGTTACAGTCGCTACTAGATACATCATTAAATCATTCTCAATTATTGTACAGTTGCATCTCTTGATGTGGAATCCTTAGACTTTGTCTATAGCAATCTGAGCTTTGATTTAGAGTGCATCACAACTGTTCTAGTCTTCCGCTCTTCCCAGCTCGCTCTACTGCTGCTTGACCAGCACGACGTCTAAAGACAGCCCCAGAGCTCAATCCACTTCCACCATGGTAGTTGTCAGAGAACATATCTCCAAGCATCTCACCTACACAGTACAGCCCAGGAACCTCCTCACTCGTCGTCTCCAAAACGACCGGCGCATTTTCCAGATTGACAGTCAATCCGCCAAAAGTGAACTTGATACCCGTTGTGACATTGACAGCCAGGAGGGGCGGCTTGTCAATAGGCAAAGCCCATTTCAACTTGGGAGCAGCCAGCCCCTAGTAGCAAGGTCATCCTTAACAGCAGGGTCCCACCTCTTCTGCCTATTCCCACCCTCAACAGAAGCATTATACTGCTTAACCATTTCAACAAAACGTTTCCAACGACGCTCCCTCATTGCACCGAACAACCTTACCACAATTCTCCTCCTCACGCAGCCACTCCACAGTTCGCGCATCCCAAACCTGAAACACAACCTGCCCAATCATCGCACATGTATAATTCCGCACATCAAACCCTTCATCAACAAACCGCTCCCCATCCCGATTAACCAGAATCCCCAACGAACACCCGCTCGTCACTAGCGCCGTGGCAGCTGTGTCGAAGAACACATCCACGCCAGCGTTGCCGCTGCCTGTCACGACAACGTCGGCTTTTGGGCGTAGAAGCACAAGGAAATCTTGATGAGAGATCTTTAGCTGGAGAGGAGCAGACTTGTAGAAGTAAGTGACTTGATCTGAGGTTGGAAGTGTGGTGGTATACTCCGGCAACTTTGGGGTTCTGCGCAGGTTCATTCTCCGGGTGCTTCCCCCCCACTCCCCGCAGCCGGGGAGTCAATCTTCGTAGAATTTGGAGATTGCGATGTAGAGTGGAGTAGTGGAGTAGTGGAAATATCAAGAAATCTCTGGGTTCTGGGGAATATCGGGCAATATCGGGCAATATCGAAGGATCAATTTCACTCGTATCACACCCCAAAAGGCGTTTGAGCATCCCAATAGCGCATGGGCTGGCCTATTCCTTATTTAGGGTCAATTGAATTGGAGTGATGAACTCAGATGAATCGCAGTGAAATTATGTTGATTGACGTTTAAATAAAAATTCTCGTCGCTGGGTCTGATATGACCACGGCAGACAATGCAGAAACAGCCCCAACGCCAATATGTGATCCACATCCAATGGACAGAACGCACGCATATAATTACTGAGCTCGACAGTATCAGACATACCGCAGCCCCATTTGCTTTGAAAAAGCAACTTGGCTAACGAATCCGATCCAGCTTGGCCCGGTTCATGGCAATCTGATCGTCGATAAAGTCGCTCTACACCCAGTCAGTCTCATCTTCACACACATACCAGATTGAAGGGACCGTTAAAACCCACCTTGCCCATGATACGCTCCAGATGTCTGTTCTGTTCGTCCAGCTCCTTACCAGTGGCCTTGGCGAGACCGTTCAATCGACCCGTAGCACTACTGAGAAGATCCAAGTTCTGCTCGATCTCGTCCTCCATTGCTTCATCCTCGCTATCCGCCTCGAATTGGTACTTAGCACGCTCGGTGACACTAGCCTTCTTGCCCTTGCCCTGTTTCGCCGCATCGCGGTCAATGTCACGGAATACCTTCTCCATGCGTTGGTTAGTCGCGTGGGCCTCGGACCGTGTGCCCTCGCGGACATCACGATCCGAACGGTGTGTATTGAGGACCTTCTCATCGCGGTCGCGCCGGCGTCGGGAGGCCGTAAACGGGTTCGACACGTGCACAGCGAACATGCTCTTGTTGAGAGTTTTGAGCTCCTTTGCCTTCTCTTCCGCAATGCGGCCTTCAATGGTAGTCATGTCCAGACTCTTCTCCGTTTCGTGGATTGATTCGCCTTGCGCACCGAGGCGGGCCAAAGTGGCACGACCGGTTTCTTCAGCCTGCGCGGCAGCTCGGAGGGCATTCCGTGTCGACGCCACATCACCCTGCTTCACGAAACGCATCTCGTTCTTCGTCGCTTGAACTTCCTGTTCCTCCTCCTCTTCAGCTGTCAGCTGTCGCTCCTGGAAGGTCGCCATGCTGTACTCGTTGCTGCCGCCACCGTAGTTGTTCCGTCCTTGACCATTCTGGCCCTCAGAGTACGGCGGTGGTGAACCGACAGAATTATCCGGTGAGCGGTTCTTGTTCTTGTTGGCGCCGCCGAACAGCTCATTGCGAGCGGAGTCTGCAGCCGCGGGGTCATTGGGATCGCCGCCGCCTAGACCTCCGTAGCCACCGCTTCCATACCGCGAGCCCGAACCAGAGGCTGGGGAACCGGCGCCTGCACCGGATCCGCCAAATCGGTCACTGCCGTAGCTGCCTTGGTTTCCGTATTTGTTGGATGAGTACTTGTTGTCAGAGGGGATGGAGTGGGGGCTCTGCGACGCGGGGCCGCCGTTGGCAGCTGGGTGGTCGGCAGGTAAAGGGGCAACACCTGCATTAATCTTGGCTTTAGTGTATGGGTCTACCGGAATTGGTTGGGCGTAAGGGTTTGAGGTGGTCGACGGGCTCTTGTCCTTCTTTCGCGAGCCGAAGAGTGCTCGTCGGTTAGAGTCATCGTCGCCATCGGATTTTTTGAAAAGACCCATTATGTGGGGGAATGAAGGCTTGTAAGGATCGGTTGAATGAATTAAAATGATCGAGGGTAAATGGAAGTTCAAGAAAAGAAAGTAGGGAGAAATCAAATGAGACAACAGAAGGAATTAATGTGAGACGCCTTCAGGGGAGCTAGATGTTCAAGATCGCCGCCTGATGGTAATATACATACAAGAAGAATACTAAAGTTACCCGCCTATCTTGTTAGGAGCAAAGCAAGCAATAACCGTGATATTACCAAAATACGTCGTTACATCAGCAGTGGCAGTGCTAACCCAATGCGGGCACAGTGGCACTTCAACGTCTCTGTTTATTTTTGGCCACAACATTGCCTCTGCTGGATAAAATGGCTCCTTTATCGGGGTCTGATGCGGACTACTTCAAGAACAAGGCGCAGAGGAGTCTCTTGACGTTACTAGAAGGCGTGCGTATAGCTCCTAGACATTCTGATCTGCGCTAAACTATTCGCCAGGCTCGGGGTAAAAAGAACCTCGTCATAAGTCAGGAGCTGGCCGGCCCAGTGGGGCTATTCGTCAAGTTTTCCGTGCTTCAAGAGTATGGCGTGGACCGGGTCTTCTTGCTGGAAAATGCAAACATCGACTCATCACAACGCAATGTTGTATTCCTTGTTCGTGGCGAGAAAGCTCGCCACGTTCGAATTGTGGCAGGTATGACATGGTCTCTTTTTTTGCCCCTTTTCGGCTTATTAGGCTGGCGTAGCTTGGATCTCTTCATTTGGGTCCATGATGGGCCATCATTAGATTACACAGAGGGATTTTTCTACTCTTTATGTTATCTGAAGAAACATTCCCTAGATTGATATTCACCATTACAACGTTTTTCAAGCTCATGTCATTAGGGCCCTTTCCTACTATCTCTGATTGAGTGCCATCAGGATGAGCTGACATTTCTATCTTAGAACAAATCAAACGCCTGCAGAATAATGGAAACGTTGAACATGAGTTCTCCATCTTCTTCACACCAAGACGGACCCTTGTAAGCAATGCGGTCTTGGAGGAGGCGGGACTCACCGGTGACGTGAACATCGCCGAGCTTCCTCTCTATTTTATGCCCCTAGAACAAGATGTCTTGTCACTAGAATTGGATGAGTCGTTTGGAGACTTGTACTTGGTAAGTCAATAGGTTGCTAACGTTTGAATGAGACATTTTCTGATCTACCATTCAGCACAAAGATCCCGGGTGTATCTTCCATGCTGCCAAGGCTCTCATGGGTGTCCAGCAGCGCCATGGCTATTTCCCACGCATTGTTGGAAAAGGCGACAATGCCCGGCGCCTGGCAGATCTCCTATTGCGCATGAGGAAAGAACTTGATGCAGAGGAGAGCTCCGGATTGGCTGATCCCTCTGCGCGAGGGCTGTTACCAAGTGCGAGTGTCGAGAACTTGATCATTATAGACCGTGATGTGGACTTTGGTACTCCCCTTCTCACACAGCTCACCTATGAAGGCTTAATTGATGAATATGTCGGTATAAAGAACAACCAAGCAGACGTTGATACGAGCATTGTCGGTCCTGCCTCCGCGCAACAGTCCCAAGAGTCATCCAAGACACCCCAGCAAGTCAAGCAGGGGCTGAAAAGAAAGATCCAGTTGGATGCCTCGGATCAGTTGTTCAGTCAATTGCGAGATGCTAACTTTGCAATCGTGGGCGACATCCTGAATAAGGTAGCACGTCGCTTAGAAAACGAGTACGAGAGCCGTCACACGGCTAAAACGACAGGCGAGCTTCGAGAGTTTGTCAACCGATTACCATCCTACCAGCTGGAGCACCAGAGTCTTCGAACCCACACCAACCTCGCAGAGGAAATCATGCGACTCACCCGCTCCGAAATCTTCCGCAAAACTTTAGAAGTCCAACAGAACAATGCAGCCGGTGCCGACTCCACATACCAGCACGAGACAATCGAGGGGCTTATAGCTCGAGATGTCCCACTAAAGACTGTGCTACGGCTCTTGTGCCTGGAGTCCTGCATGTCTGGGGGTCTCCGACCTCGCGACCTAGAGAATTTCAAGAGACAGATCGTCCAAGCGTACGGCCACCAGCACCTCCTCACATTTTGGGCGCTGGAGAAAATGGAACTTCTCCAGCCTAAATCCTCAGCAACCACAATGCTCCTCCCTACATCTGGCGCACAAGCAGGATCAAAGACGAATTACGGGTACCTGCGGAAGAACCTCCGTCTTGTCATCGAGGAGGTCAGCGAGAAGGACCCGAACGATATTTCCTATGTGTATAGTGGCTTCGCACCCCTTAGCATCCGCCTGGTTCAATGCGTGCTACAAAAATCCTACATGGTGTCGTTGATCAAGGGAAGTACGCCGGCCGCCTCACTGAATACCGCTAATACAACATCGCCTGGCTGGCTTGGCTTCGAGGACGTTATGAAGAGTGCTCGCGGTGCGACTTTCAGCATTGTCCAGAAGGGCGATGATAAGGCTGTGCGGGCGCGTCAAACGCTGAGCGGTAACTCTGCTACTAAGGCTGTGTATGTCTTTTTCTTGGGAGGTATCACGTTCACGGAGATCGCCGCGTTGCGCTTCATTGCTGCGCAGGAAGCCCCACGAAGAAAGATCATAATTTGTACCACGAGTATCATTAGTGGTGATCGGATGATGGAGGCGGCTATCGAGAAGGGTAGCTTTGCCAACGAAGAGTGAACGGGTTAAACTACGCCTCAGTGATCATAATGATAGCTACGTATACATGTCATTTTCGGAAAAAAGCGAGCAGCACGCTGTGCAGTCTTCTTCTGATGGCTGTTTGAACCGTTCAGCATGGAATTTTTCAACAATGTTCGCAAAGCCCCGTAATCTGGTTCGGTTCTAGACTTTAACCTAGCAAACCGATAACTCTGTCTCAAAAGATTGATTCAATAGCCGAATCCAGAATGAACGCCCATCAACCGACCCTGATACCGTTCGATAACCTCCCCGAGCCGTACCATAACACCTGCTGAAAGGGTGCGTATCTGCTCCTGCGGGTCAGTAGCCGTGGAGCTTGGATCAGCCCTCGCAGCCGAAGGCGGCGTCCGGTCGAAGACCTGGGAAGCCCACTCGCGCAACTCGATCACCATCGTGGCGTACTCGGTGACAAGACGCTGTTCGCCATTTGAGCCAGATGCAATATTGAGATCCACTATAGTGAGGAAGAGGGATAGGAGTGCGGC